TGGGCCATATAATGTTATGATAGGCAGAAATGCTTTAGCTTTCCAGCAAAATGTTTGCACTTGCTTATTTACATAAGCCTTCAGCAGTAAAGCAACCAGTAGAAAACATAAGGTTTTCCTTCAGAGCTAACTATTACTGATTTACATCAATAGATGGCATTAATAAATGAATATATTATACTGCTATTATTCAATGATCCAGTTTAAAGGAGGAGCCTATGTAGAGTATTATCCCTTTCACATTGATAAGCTTTCCATGACATGCATGTAAATTAGAAGTCCTATGCGGTTATAATTTTTCAAACAATTGGTCAAGCTAACATATAAGAATGCATACTAGCTAATCAAATGTATTAGTACTGTTCAGAGAACTGTTCAGTAATATTTAGTATTCTTGATTTCATAACAATATGTTATCTGAAGTATAAATTCTGTGAATTTATACAATTTTGGGTTGTTTTTACAGATTCATCTTCGTTGTTTGTATTGTTCTTTATGATAGATATATACCTCACAGGCAAATTAAATATTATATAGTAAAGCTAAACTTTATGGTTTTGGAACAGAATTCATATTCGAAATTTTCTTAGCTGAGTATACAAAAAATAAATGAAGTAAAAATAAAAACTCGAATTATTTTCTGATGTTTAGGTCATCGAATAATCCAATAGTTCGAGATGGACCTTCCAATATATATATATTCAAAACGCTTTAAGTGAAGAAAGTTAGTGTAAAATACATTGCATAAGAAAGGTATTGCCTGGTAAGCCATCATGTAACAGTTTGTTACATTACCATAAAGAAAACAAAGCATTCGTTCATAGTTCCTTCTAAGAATTGTTCATGCATGCCACTCATAAAATTTAGAGTTCAAGTGCAATAAAAATTATCAATTTTTATATTATGTATATAATTACGTATGTAAAAATGCCAACTTTGTCTGCATAATGAGATCACCACAATTTGTGACATCAGTTTCATTTTTCATATTATGACCGAGCTGTAATTGGAAATTTCATATTCTTCACACCACCAGGTTAAGTAATCCGAGGCAAGTTACAGCTACATTGTCTAATTAGTAGTATACCATTGGAAATCCACACGATCACAGATAAACGGGGAAAAAAGATCAATTGAAAAAAATCTATAAAACTGCACTTCTTAAAAACTAACAAAAATTGGCAAATAACATAAAACATGCCAAAAAACCCCAAGACGTATTTACAACTACAATTTCAAAATGCAGGAATATACATAACTACAGAATAAGCTGTTTCATAAAACCACTTGCTGGGTTTCTTACTAATCTTTGTACTAATGAAACTTCTATAATACAGTAAACATTCTATGATCTGAGTAACAAACCACTCATTTGTATTTCATAAACTGTGTATATTCAGTTCACAACTGAAACTTTAATACAGCTAATTTATGTTGTTTATAGGTTTCTGTGAGGATTTCAACAGTGACAGTATTTGGAAAATACTTTCAACATTTGTGAACTGAAGATAAAAAATATATAAAACTATAAACATGTGTAAAATCTTTACACATAAGTAGTTTGTATGATCATGTGTAAAAAAAATCAAAACTTTACTTTTAGAGTTCATTATACATTGCAATTTACAATATTTTTTGCATCTTCATCGTGAACTAAAAAATAAGTGGTCCTATACCAAAAGTGTTTTTGCTTCATTTCAAATCAATGTGTAAAACCTGACATGACTGTCATAAAAGGGGTCTTATGCTTAATGCCTAACAACGAAAGGAACACTCCAGGAGACAAGGTGCAAATGTTGGAAGAAACAATTACAAATATCTCTTATTCAGAAATTCTATGCAGTAAATAAGTAATACTTCTTAGGACAATCTCAGCTGACCTCAAAAACTAATAACGTTCGACGAAACAGTTTGAAAGTCTGAAAAGTTGCAATGTTTAACATGATGATTATTTTTTTAATGAAATTATTACACAGACCTGTGATGGTTATATTGTCTTGAAATTTTTACATATTATACTGTAATTCCTGTACACTGAAATCGAAAATGATATCCATTTTCTCCATCACATACAGATTTTCCCAAACATCACATGTACTTTTACATAAGTGAATCATTTCCACTGAAATCATATCACATTTTGTTATGCTTATACTACAGATATTGTTAAGCCATAATATAAATTTTATAGCCTCCAAGCTTCTGCTTTATTGAAATATAACAAGGAAATCAGACCTACATGCAATGTCCCTTCTATAACATCCTATCTTTCAAAAAATGTCAATACTTTTGTCTGACATTTTCTACTGGATTATTTATAACCAACAGAAAGAGAAGATTTTGATTTACAAAATTGCTTATGCGGCTAGATTATTTATGCGCCTGGTTTTGAAGTATTTGGCTGCAGTTTCATAGGCTTCCCTTGTAGTGTTAGTCTTAACCAGCTAACAGAAATGTTTTAACACTTATAGTTAGAAAGCTACTTAAATTAAAGTAGTTTTGCAACATACTATTTTTGAGCAGATAATAATTTGCTCCCTAAATTACATATTTTACATGAAAAACGTCATTGCAAAAAAAAGTAGGCTTACAGTATTTTGTCTTCCAAGAACAAAAAGACAAGACCATGATATAAGTACTAAATTTCTTGTTCAGTTAAGGTTAGATTAGGAAAAATAAATAATAATGATAAAAATGTTTCATGAGGCACACGCGTGAGCAGCTCATTGGTAATGTAATTCGATAGCGTAACATGAGCTGCATGTTCTCCCGAGTGATTTACAATGTATAATGGCACAAATAGTAGTCAGACATGGTTGAAAGGGCAATAAAACAACAAAATTTAATTATAAATAGAAGTATACTGTTACGAATTTAGAGCTACTTAAAATAAACTAATGTAGTTTCATGCTACAATTTGAAGTCATTCTAGAAAATAAAAAAAAAGAGTAATTTAGGTTCTTTTTTTTTTTTTTTGGTAGTTAAAAGTTCAGTCAAATTGACCAACTTTATATACAGTTAGGGTAGAGAAAATAACAGATAAAATATAAACTTTTATTGAAAAATACATTTGATATTTATTTAGGGGGTTTTAGAGATTACACAAAGGAAATTTTAGATTTTTGAGATGGAGAAAATTATTTTTTATCTTAACATGAAAAACCACTTTCCACATGGACTATTCAAAATAAACACTCGATATATTCATGGACAAATGTTTTTTTAGTTTATTCAAAATACTTCACTAAAAGTATTGAGTTTTTGTACGTGAAAGACTTGTAATGTTAACTGAAAGACTGCTAAATTTTGTGAAGATATAAATACTATATTAAAAATTAATAGTATCAGATCCATAGTGACTTTAAACAAGTAAGAAGAGGTCATGTGGTCGGTCTAATCGACCGAGCCTGTATTGAAAGAGTTAAAGCTACCATCCGTTATCTCTAATTATTGACAGAGTCATAAATCTAATAAGGAGTTGTCATGTATTTTCTATCCCATAATTGTGACATTTACTCTCTACATGAATAATTAAAGGGTTGTCAGACTTAAGTAAGCTATTATAATTGATAAAATGAGCTGCTCTTATCACAATCACTCATTGTAGTGGCTTGGAGATGTTTCATCCATAATTTTCTAACACACTTCTCTGTTTCTCCAATATATCTCTCTTTCCATAGATTGCAAGAAATACTGTAATTTATACTTTTCTTCATTCATTTCTTTTTAAGATGCAGCTTACATGGAATACAATTGATTATCTCACAGTCGTTGGGGAGTTTAAATGCAGGAGTGAACTAAATGTGACTTATGGGTCTATCTTGGATTTTTTCTGTCCACATAGGTAAACTACACAGCTTTCCTAAAAATTTTAGTATTGCTTTTACCTCTTAGTTTATTATATTTTTTAAATTTGATGTGAATTTACTACATCCATCTATTCCTATCCATGAAGGAATTGATACAGTTGTGGTTTTTTCTAGGTCAATATAAAACTAAAGTTCATCTGCTTTGAGTTTCTCTTGGAACATTTTTTCACCTCTGATGATGGACATGTATGTTTAGCCATCTGAAACATGTAATACCAACTTGTTTATATCTCTTGACCTAATACTTATAGTAAAATCCTTTATTGCACCAAGAAACATTGCATATTGTTGGCAATGTGTCTGCATGTACACCAATGTTTAAGACTACAACAGTTTTAATAAGGTTGTCTCTCTTGAAACAGTCAAAAGTTGAAACATCAAGGGCATAGGAAAACTTTCAATTGTTACTGGCTTTTTTGTCTTTTTACTAAACATTATACACGTGGCTGAAACTACAAATTGTACCTACACGGATATTTTGCAAGCATAATATTTCTTCCTCAACTTCATTTTATAGTATGTATTATCATTTTTGACAGTATTGTAATAGTGTAGAAAAGCAATGAATCAGAAAACAATCTACAACTAGTGTACAGCTGTAAAAAAAAAAACTGAAATCCAAGAAAGGAAATAATTAATATTCACATCTGTTTTAACCAGTTCGAAGATTGAATTTTCTTTTTTAATTATAAAACATGTCTAAAACAATATGTATCATAAAGAGTACTATATAAAAGCTTGTTTTCCATATAAACATATGCAGTATTTAAAATATTTAGAAACAACAAATACATCCCTTGTATTATTTAACAGTTACAATTTCTCCTCTTGCTTTCAAACCAGCCAAAACTTCCTGCATTTGGTTTCATATACTTTAGAAGTAAAACCTCAACTCCAAACACTTTTTTTTAACAGCATGCATCTTACAGTATGCTGCAATTTTACCAAGTAAGCTATATTATGAAAGGTTTTATATGTATAGATAACACATTTAATTCACAGAACTGATTACTTTCTTGGATTTGTTTAGTGTAAATGTGTTAGTATGTACAGTCAAATGTAATCAGTATATATAATTAGAAATTAACCGTGTTCAGTATGATAATAAAAATGTAAAGTGAAAATTATTACCTGATAGAAAGTTAACTTGAATCCCAGAACCTGACTTAAAGTCTTTGGATTACACATGAAAGATTGCAACAAAGGAATGTAAAAATCTGGGAGATGTGAACAGCACTCAAATGATTCAAGAATGACATCCAGAACACGGTTGGGGTCCAAATTAAAGCATCCTAGGTAAATATAAAAACATACTTATAATGAAATGTCAATTAAAAAGCATATACTTTACCTTTAAAAAAAATGTCAAAATATATCTTCTGAAATTATGACCAAAAACTTGAGAATTAAATTCAAAATATTGAAGAAAAAACCTTTTCCTTATATGCTTAATAAAAGGTCTTAGCAGTCAATTTAATAAGTGAAAGTGATTTTTTAATAAATTGTTAAATTTTTGTAACATTTATTACTTTTCCTCTGTTGTGAACTTACAGCTACATTTCTAAGATCTGAAAGTGGATTTTATAAGTTGTATGTGTGAGTTATGGAATTTCTTGGTGTGCAATATTTTAAAGTTTAGTCATTTTACATTTTTCTTAATAGCATACATGTCATTAGAATGATGGTTACATACTATACCATTGTAATTAAGTTAAATTACTATATTAAAGTGTATACTTTTAACTTTTTGTTTTAATGCTTTAATAATAAAATATAATTCATACAGAGACTTACTTCACTAAAACCTCGAGCTATATATGTTTTTTTCCAAAGATTACATCCTTTCTATTTCCCTTTGTACTTTCTATTCTCTCCTTTACTGTCTATCATTTAAAATCTTTAATCCTGTGAAAACTTCATACAATGTGTGATTGATTACATGTCCTATCTCTTCCAATGACAGAACTTCTAGGCTAATAATTTTTTGCTGTATAGTACTACATCTGTCTGACACCTGCCTTCCACTTAACCTTTTATGGTCACAATTTCTCACAGATCCATGTACGGAAGAGGAAGATAGGAATAGTTATAGTAGAGTAAGTATCTCTTGTAATTATAGTTTATTACTATGTTGTTTTCAAATATACCACTGTACTTCTGCTACACCTTCTAAGTACAAATTACATCACTTAAAAGGAGGTAAGACAAGAGACACGTGTCACTTTTGGTGGAAAAAAAAAAGAGAATGGTAGATCATAAAAATGTAGATCATAAGTAGATCATAAAAATGTTGCTAGGTCTAACCATAATGAAACAACTAAATCTTTGGCAAAATATGCGATCTGTCAAGCTGTCCAAGACATCCCAACGACAGTGCACCAAGTGGTCTAAAGACTTAATGTGAAAAGGCATCTGTGGTACTAACCTAGACAATAAACCAAGAAACACTTCAACTCTGATCTTACAGTTCATTAAGATTAGGTGTGTTTCAAAAACAAGTACAAAATAACCTATATGATAGCCAGTACAGAGATATGTTGCATTATACTTCCTGAAGATGCTAATAACCTCCTAATAATGGATCCATAAAAACTAAAACATGTGAGTACAGTAACTGACCTGGTTAATATCAACAAAAGAGACACAGAGCTAACACCTTAGGAGAAAGAGACAACAACAAAAATAATGATGACACCAACATTTCCACATGCACAATAATTTTATTTGTATACGGTTTAATGAATCTTGCTCTACATATTTCCGTAAACAACATGGTCCACTATCCTCAAAAGCATCCTAAGTAAATACAAATACAAACAGATACTCAAATCACATAAACACATAAATGTTATCTCAAAAAATAAAACTTCCTAAAAACAATTGCTGAAATTATGATCAAAAACTGAAGGTGATGAATTATGTTGTCCACTGAAACATGTAGAGTATTGTCTCTTTTAACCTTATATAAATATTGTGCATGTGAAAACAATGTTGTTGTCATTTTAAGTTTCATTTTTATTAAAAGTTTACATAACAGCTATCAATCTAATGTATTAACTCAAAACAAAGTTACATTCAAAATTGAATTAAACTACTTTATTATCATAATATACAAATAAACCTGGCATCAAAATGTAGTTAATAAATCAAATTTTAAAACTATGTAAGTTTAATTCTAAATTTTATAAGAAAATATTTAAAAAAATCCTCAATTTCCCCTGGTATGAGAATTGTAACATTTGCTCTCTGTGTCTTCCCTCTTCTCTAATTTATTTACCTCTCCTCTAGAGGAGGGGACACATTCCAGTGGTTCAAAATTCATTTTGGGACTCTGGATATAAGAGTGACAGTCAAGTCCCACTAAAGAATTAGAGTAGCCCAAGGGTTAGTGGTGGGTAGTGTTTACTAGATACCTTCTACTTCAAGATTAGTGATAGCTAGCACATACAGCCCTTCAAGTAGTTTTGCACAAAATTCAGCATAAAACAACTACTCTTTTTAGAAATGTATTTAATAACTTAGTGTAAAATATCCATTTTGCTTTGAACAGCAAGATTAATAATCAAAAGTTATCAATTTCTTCAAACAACATTCATTATAAAATTATAAAATATTATCAAACATTATAAAAAGCACATTTCCTGGAAAAGTCCATAACATCATCAAGTTCTCTAAAACTAAAAACATGCGAGAAATCACAGCTTACCAATAAGAGATCTGATAACTTCAAGAAGATAGGTAGTGTTTACTGTCCCACCAACCTCCTGAGTGAGTTCTGTTATTAACTTGGCAAACCCTTCACTTTCTTCTCGAAATAGGTTAAACTTTTGTTGTTTGTAACTGTAAAAAAATAAATTTTTAATGTTAAGATGACAGAGAAAAATAAAGTTCAAATTATTATTAAGTATCAGTTACCACTACATCAACTTTTCAGCATCTAGATATGTTTCATAGATTACCAAATCAGTGTGCCTTCTGTATTTTATTTCTGTTGATGCTACTCTGATGTTAAAAACAAAATCATGCATTGACAAACTTCTTCCATGGGTTTATAGTCAAATTATTATATGACAAAAGTTAATTCCTAACATTAATAAAGAATAACTAAATTAAGAAGAGCACATAAAAATTAGTTAATAAATATGTAAAAGAAACAATGTAATAACTGTACTAACTGGACATTTTAAGAGAGACCATTATCAAGGTACTGTATGCAACTATAATTGTTTGTACTTTAGAAACCTGAATTTGTTGCTAAAATAGACTTTTGTGAATACTCATCTTAAAATACATGTGCTAATAGATCTTTTTTTCTAAAATAAAACTATGCTTAAAAATTTCTACAACTATCTCTGTTCTCATAATCCTCAGAATATCAAGAGAGAAAAAAAAATCTCAGAGTGGTCCAGAACTTCAAATAATGTTTTAACTTTACTGATAACAATAAAGCTTACTTAACACATCATTTAAGGACAACAATGGTCCATCTAGGCTGTCCCAACCACTATCTTTCAAATAAAAATAAAACAATTAAAACCAGTCTTTATCATTTCAAATATTTATTAAGCCTTCCCTCAAACACCCTAAAATTTAATGCACCCAAAGCATTTCAAGGCAACCTATTCCAAAAGCCAACCACCCTCTTGAAAAATAAAACTGTCTTGGGTGAATGTGACTCCTAACCTTCCAAAATTTATATTGTGTCCCCTAGTTCTACAATTCTCACCATTAAGTACTATCAATACTCTTAACAATCTTAACCACCTCGATCAGATACCCCTAACTCTTCTCTTTTTCAAGAGAAAATAATTTCAATGAACTTAACCTTTCCTAATACAACAACCTTTCCATCCCATGTATCATGCTAATAGCCCTCCTCTGAACCCTTTCCAACAATTCATTGTCTTTCCGAAGGTAATAAGCCTAAGACTGAATGCAATACACCAAATGTGGCCTAACCAATGACCTAACTTCTTTAAACCTGTATTCAATATTTCTGTAGATACAACACAAAATCTTATTTTTCCTGCCACTAGCAACAGCATACTGCAAAAATGGCTTAAGATATTGATAACAAGAAAGCCAAGATGCTTTTCTTCCATAAAACTGTTAAGGTTATTCCCATCAAAATTATGCTTACATTTCAAATTATGGTATCTCAATGCACTACCTTGCATTTATTATAATCAAAAGTTATTTGTTATATATTTGTCCAATTCATAAAATAATACAAATCCTTTCATAAAGCAGCAGCATCTTCCTCACATCCAGCAACAACCAAAACCAGCAAATCTATGTAATATATTGACCACTGCTTCCTCTCTATCATTGATGTATATCCATAAGGGCAAAGGTCCTAGCACTGAATACTGAGGTATCCCACTTATAGCATTAATCCAGTTTGACTAAATTCCATATATAATAACCTTCCGCTTCTTTCTATCCAGATATTTTTCTATCCAATAAGTCAACCTATTCCTCACACCTACAGAGAGCATTATTTTAACAAGCCTTTTATGTGGCACCTTGTCACCACCCATACCCTCATTTATGTATGCAGTAAGCTTTATACAATCTCAAAAGATAAAAAAGGCAAGAATTTCCCAAAGTGAAACTATGTTGACTATCCAACAAAATTTTTAAATTTGTTAAATGACTCTGCAATGCATCTTTTTTTTTTTTACACTTGCAAAACATTTTCCCACCATTGATGTAAGACTAATATGCCTATAATTACAAGAGAAATTTTAAGATGTCTCTTGTACAAATCTTTTAGCACTTCTCCACTATTCACAGCCTTAGAAAAAATAGTAACAAGTGGTTTATATGTCTAATCCTTGACCTCTTTTATATATACTTGGTAAATATTATCTGCCCCAAGAACTATATCATTATTTAAATTTCCCTGCTTTTTTAACTATTTCAATATGGGCTCAATCAAACTGACCGACCACATGACCTCTTTGTACTCATTTAAAGTCTTTATAGATTTAATACTTGTAACATTAAATACAATGTGTATATCTTCAGAAAATCTTAACTAACCTAAAAATATCCCTATTTTTACATTTTAGTTACTTTATAATAATAAATAAATAAAGAATAAACAAGAAATAAAGTACTTACTCAATCTTCTTTTTTCTTGCTGTCAGGTTTCAAAGAGACTTAAGCCTAATTTTTTAGAGTAATAATAGTAATGCATTTAATAATTTTTATTTAATTAAATAATGAACCACAGAACATAGACTAATAACACGCAAAAAAGTAGACAATTTCCCCTAACTCTCAAAATTTTTCTAGCTTTCTAACTATGCAACAAGAGCTGTTACAAGTTTATTCAAGTTAGTCATTAGATTTCCAACAAGGACAGAGCTTGTACTCTGGGTGAAATTGACAATTATCTGTTCAGAACATAATGTTACACAATACTTCATTGGAAAGATGAAAACCTTGACTTTCTATTAGCTATAGGTAATATATAATTAAACATAAGAGAGAACTATTAATGAATTCTGAAAGAGAGGATGTGACAGGTAGGTGTGGCAGGAGGGGTCTGATTTTCTATTCGATAACTCTGTAACCAAACAAAATTGAAAACTATAAAAATTACGGTATGTCTGAGCATAGACGATCTTACAGAGAGTGATTTACTTTTAATTTCGCACCCCTTCAAGGAGTGGTGGATAAAATAGGATAAAATGTGTCACATGGGTCACACTAAAGGAAATTCAGGCTTTTTTTAATATTGCCTTGTAGAATTATGAACTTAAAATTTATATACTATTAACATATGGATTATTAGCTAAGATTTTATGCTATTCTAATTGGTATAACATAAACAAAATGTAGTTTAATAAAATTTCTATGTAAGACACTAAACCTTGTGTCATGCACAGTAAAGGATACTGGGGACAACTCTGAACTTAGTCGGGTTTCCATCAAGTGAAAATGGCTGAAGCAGATAAAACTAAGACTGCATTTAGTTATGGCTAAAGTCTCTGGCAATACTGTGTGATGCCATTCAGGCTTAGCAATGATTCAGCAATATTTGAGAGGCTGATTGAAAGAGTATTGGAAGGCCTACAATGGAGGATAGCCCTAGTGTATCTGGATGATGTCATTGTGTTTGCAGCAACATTTGATGAGGAAGTATCTCGGCTAGAGGAAGTATTTAAACGTTTGAAAGCAGCAAACCTCAAACTCCATTCCAAGAAATGCCACTTGTTCCAGAAAGAGGTGCTTTACTTTGGTCACATTGTAAGTGAGCATGGTGTGTGAACTGATCCTGAC